AGCAAAAACGGATGGAGGAAAAAAAAAAAAATCAAAAAAACCCCCCCAGCTTGTCCACTGGTCCCAGGCAAGGGAAAAACCTAGTTTTGCTTCAGTCTTAAATTTGGGCAGCACCAGCCGTGAATGCATAAGACCTGTGTTTCCCCTGGCTAAAACGGGGGGAAAAAAACCCAAGACCAGCAGGAAAAAAAAAAAAAAAAAGCTCAAGGGTATTTCGAGAGACCCAAAATGCTTATTAAACCAGCTTGGGCTGCTGAAACTCACCCTGTGACAGGCAACTGGCTAGGTCTCGCCCAGAGCTTTTTGCAAGTCACAGAACCTGGGAAAGGGCAAAAGTGTGTTTACAGTTAATGAGAAGGAAATGACGGACCCCAGACGGACAGTTTGGTCAGCCTAATTTCAATGACCAGAAAGATGCTGAGACAAGTCATCTTATTAAACCAGCTTGGGCTGCTGAAACTCACCCTGTGACAGGCAACTGGCTAGGTCTCGCCCAGAGCTTTTTGCAAGTCACAGAACCTGGGAAAGGGCAAAAGTGTGTTTACAGTTAATGAGAAGGAAATGACGGACCCCAGACGGACAGTTTGGTCAGCCTAATTTCAATGACCAGAAAGATGCTGAGACAAGTCATCACAACAACCAAATCTAACCTGCAAGTGGCCATATCACTAAAAGGTGATACATACCTCTTAGCCATAATCAGAGCAAATCACAGTAGATTAATCTTTTTTTTTCCCCTCTCTCTGCCAGAAACATCCAGCATAGTGGATAGTCGAGAAACATTTGAGGGCTTTTTTTTTTTTGCTTGTTTTTAATTTCAGAAAGTCTTTGGGTCTCTCTGACTGTATTTTTCACCGGGAAACAAGGCATTCTGGATGGAAGTCTCTAGTCTGTAAGTAGCCGAGAAGGTGTATTTAAGTGTAGCTGTAATTGGCTCAGTTGTGCCTCTGTACTGGAAGAAGGTTTCAAGCCCGTTTCCACAACGGCCTCCTGTGAGGCTGCTAAGACTGACTACTTTGAGTAGCATCTCTAAGGCCAGCATCAATTTTGCCAGAGCAGGAGGAGCTGCAAACACTTCTAAGAAATAAAAGTGATCTTAGCAGGTTGTAGAAATGACGTAAAATAAACGGTAAGTAATTCAGTAATGGCAAGGGCCCTTCATGGATGAATAACTATCTATACAAACATATAACCTTTTGTCGCCGATGCTGTAATAGCTCCGCAGAAAGGGCTCTGGGAGTTAAAGTGGGTCAAAAATGAATTAACATTGCAGTTCATGGGAATGACACCATAAAAACAAACAATTACACTGGGACGCCTGAAGTCATTTGTGCCAAACCTGTCCTTATCAAGGATTTCAGGAGACTATAAGCCTATTCGGAAAGCAAACAAACACTGTTTCCTGTCTGTGGACATTAAGCAAACCTTGAGCTCTATTTAGCACTAGAAAAAACTCAGCAAAATTCACTATCGAGATTTTTGTGCCACACCGCAAGGAGGAGGGAACCATTAGGACAGAGTGCACCAGAGAGCAAGGTAACGAGCAGCGTTTTAGAAAACATGGTGATCTGTAGGATAAAAGTAAGACTCGAGTTTGTGTTAGGAAAAAAAAAAAAAGCAAGTGAAGGCATGGCAGCAGTCTGCATAGGTGTAAAAAACCTGCTGTGAAGATCCTTTGCATGTCCACTGGGGGTAGGATAATTTGCAATAACCTTAGACTGAAATAAGGCTATATCCTGGGATGCAAAACCTTTGTGAGGGCCACGCAGCGCTGCAATAGGTTCAACCAGTCAGTGCCCCATCACTGGTGTGTTTGGGGAACTGGTCAGATGAACCTCTGTAAGTGCCTGTATAATTGATTTGGAGGGGTCTAAGCCTCGAGCTCTCTTCCAGCCTTAATCTTTCCTCGTCAGTGATCTTGCATGGCTCTCCTCTAGCCGGGCTGCTTGTAGCCGTTTCCCTGAGCGCTCCGTTTCCCTCCATCGCATCAAATCCTGCCGGCTTCACCGCCCTTCTTCAACACGGATGCCTGCTTCTGTAATCACTCGCCATCTTCAGCTTCTCTCCCAGCTTTACCAAAACCTTAAAGGTTTCTTTCTCTGAAACAGCGCACTTTTTCCAGCCTTGCAGCTGCTGTCACCCTTTCCCCAGGCCGGTGCCGAGGTGAGGGTCCCCCAAGGGATGTATCTCGCAGTAAAAACTGTGGACGCCTACTTAACGGGGATGAAGGTGGGGTTTCAAGAGAGCGTTTGAGCACCCGAGAGAGCACCTTGGCCCAAACTCTTACAAAAACACGCCATCATCGGCACCCTCCCCTCTGCGCTGTGCCCACGCCGGGCACGTCAACGGCTTGCTGAGTTTCAAGCGCTGGCTGCCTCCTCTCTAGGGTGTCGACGCCTCGTTTCCTGTCGCCAAGGCCGGGAAGAGCCGTTAGGGCCGCGGATACCCGTCACCTACT